ATTCATGTGGTACCCAAATATCAAGTTTTTTTACCATCTCAAGACGTCGTATATGATCATGTATAGTTGATTGTGGTATATTTAACTCCAATTTCACGCGCAGTTACATGACGATCCGATTCGATTAAAGCCTTGATGACGTCATCATCAACTGCACTTGGCGGACCTGAACGTGGCTAGTCTTTGAGTGAAAAATCTCCCAGACGGAAAAACTACCTTTGACACTGTTTTTCTTTTAAGGCTTTGTCACCATACACATCACGTAACACTTTAGCAACCTGAGCTGYATTTTTTCCTTTACGGAAATAATAAAGTAAAATATGACGAAAATGCTCCTTTGGGGGCTCCATATTAAAATTGTCGCCAAACAAACAAATATAAATAAAATTATGCGCACTTTTTTTCTAAGGCAAGGTAAAAGTACYAGCTGATATTTGAYAAAAGCAAAAATGCAATAATAGAGTCACAAGCCGTTCAAAAAATTGTTAACGCCATTTGTATGCAAAATCAATGGTTTCTTTTAGGTCAACCAATAGAAAAAACCGAAATTCACCGCTATAAAAGTGAAGTCTAGTGCTATCTTTTGCACGACGATCAAGGCTATGACTTAAACTGACTTAACCTAATCATTGTAGTTAAAATTGCTCCTCAACTAATCTAAGGTTCATATAGTGATATTGGAGTTTATTTARATATCCTGTAAGGATATTAAATTAATAATTTAAAATTTTATTTCAAACAATTTTTGTCTTGCAAATTTTTTGTTAAAACCTGCTCTTCCCTCAAAGTGTGTGAAAAAGGTGAGAAATTATAAAAGAAGTACTTAAAGTTAAAGCTAAGATTAAGAAAAGTTTCATGTGTAAAGTAAAYATAAAAGTAAATTTTTAAATGATACACCTTAATGTACATATTCCATTAACTTAAATTWACTTTAAGGAATATTGATAGTATAATTTATGGACATGTCTGCCTCACATCATCAGTTTGTCGTACTCACCCACAACATCCAGGTAACCAACTTGACTCTTCATCGGATCCGTATTGATCTGACACATATACCAGCCTTTRTCCGCTTCCTTAACATCACGTATTCTCAATATCCAAGCACGGTTCTCAGCATGGGTTATGCTCATTCGGTTGTTTTTCGTTATAATGTGATTTTGTATCGTCAGTATTGTTTGTGTGTCGACGCGTAACCACGCAATCTAGGCGATGGAACCCGAAGGTGTGTGTTTGGGTTCRAAACAASCCATTCATTTTCATATTAGCAGATAGTACATAGGCCGCAAGACGCACGCATTCATATGCACGTTCGGTCATTAGTTTGGTTTTGTTAAATTGCATTTGCCGGTTTGTTTATTTTTCCGTGCAAGTGGTTGTGTTGAATTTTTCTCGATGTTCCACAGGACGTCAGACACATGTGAATGTGTGCAATKGTATGCGTAGTTAGTATCAGTAAGAAAGGAAAAGAAAAGAGAGAAGAAAATTCATGTGAAAATTGTTTGTTTACCTTTAGTTTAATAGTTGAACTTTTTGTTGGTTAGTACTGCGTAGAGTTGTCATGTACATACATGTATATGTGGAGATCGCCACTCTACACTAATTATAATAAGAACTCCTAATTTTTGTTTGTACTGTACATAATAGTTATTCGTACCTACTTCTTAAGTTGCCATTTTGTGTCATTTATCCTAAAACTTAACGAATGTAAGAATGTTAGAGTCAGCGACCATCGAAGTGTTAACAACGACTCGCTAAGTACCGCATCACCACCAAATTGGTGTCAGAARAGTAAAATTTTGAATAATTTTTTCTGAACCCCACGCTTACTCAAAATGGACGAACATCATCAACCTGTGGAAAG